GGAAGCTGGCATACGATGCTCTCGAACGGCTACGTCTGCATCTCCGGCCTTCTCATTCCCCCAGGTACTACGCAAGGCTCGAACTCTGTGCAAATCAACAATTCAGCTCCATCCGAAACGATAATTTCGTTGGCCAACGAGAGATCCAAACCACCGTTGTGCACCTCAGATCTTCATGAAGGCGTACCCGGTAGTTTATCCAAATCGACTCTGATAGAGATGCCGACAGCATCACCAACCTGTGAGCCGCTCAACGACACTTATGGGATCAAATCTTGCATCGTAGGCGGTAGAAAGGCCTCGGTGTACGATGCTGGCATCGGATCAAACTTCAGGTGTCATGGGGTTTTGTATCCTGAAAATGGAAAGTTTGTGGCGCTCTACACGCCATACGATACGACTCTCGCCGCTGAGAACAGATCCCAGCCAGCACCAGTGAACTGCGGACGAATGATGAATCCCACCAATCAATTCAGTGGAAAGAGTGCAACTGGAATAGTGATAGACCGTTGTGCAAGTTGCATTGGTAAAGGAGGCCAGCTCGATGACCCGACAACAAATCAAACTTTGGTTAACGGCGCGACTGTAGACCTGAGTCGTCCGCTCTGGAACGAGCTTTTTGACGATGCTCCAGATAATGTTTACGATGTGTGGTACGAGGGGAAGGTATTGCAGGGCATACCATGAGCGATGGGCTACGTACCGCCCTGGACTCCATGTTATCAATGGTTAGTTTTGTCGCCACATAGAAGAATCATACAAACATATGCACGAATGGCCCTTCAAGCATTTGACTCATAAGCGACTTGATCTCTAACCTTGTAATCATCCTAGCTGAGACAAGATTCAATGAGAGCACATTCCTATAGTTAGAGGAAGTTTAATCATAGCTCGAATTCAATAAACCCCGTATTGATCCTTTGTAGACCGTCCGCAGACCATTCGCAGACCGCAGGAATTTGACATGGGAGACGACAAGGGATATCATCACATTGTGAAGCAGAACGTAAATCCGATTGTACCTACAAACTTCAACATTGTCCCACTAATCATCGATCACAGCTAAGTCAAGATGAGATACCGATAACATGAAGTGAAAGGAAGCATTGTACGAATCAAGACGAGACTTGGACAGCAGCTAGGAAGGCTGTCAGACTGTTGCGTAAGTACACAGCAAACATATGCGTGATAGCTGATAGAGCATGCGGTGGCTTGAGCTCATTGCGAGGGTCAGTCAAATGCATAGATCATTCATACACATTGGCATACCTCTCGCCACCACGGCCTTACGCATCGCCCTAGCCGTCGATTTGATCTTGCTCGATCGTTGACGTCCAACCCGCAAACCATACCCCAGAACGCCTCTAGTCTCTGAGCACCAGCCTCGTTGTATTCGGGTACCTTGAGCTGCCCGATTGTAGTCAGGCCAGTAGCGTTGTCTAACTCCGAAGCCAACACAGACGGGCAAATGGCGTCGTAGTTGTGGACCGAAGCGTCAAACTTCGTGACAACATCCCAGGAGGACAGGAGGGCTTTTCAGAGAAACAGGTGGGTCTGTTCCAAATAGTCCATGGCTCGCTTCTAGGACTTGTTTGAGAGTATAGCATGTAAAGCAACACGCCTTTCCCTGCCGTTGCTATATGGTCGGAGTATTGTGTACAAAACGCGAGAATATATCTCCGCAGCCAACATAAGCAGACAAAGAGGTCTTTCACGTGCAAGTTTGGCTTGAACGTGGACATCGTTTTGAAAGTGTGGAAGACGACAGGAACACAAACGAATGTAACAGATGAGAGACGACGCTTTCCTAAACACAGCGGGCGAGGTGGCAAACAAGACGATAAGCATGCTGAGTGGCTCTTTCTGCTTATAGTCTTCCAGACCCTCACGTCTTGGCTGTCCCCTCTTTCGCATGTGCTATTCTCGAAGATCGTCGTCGATCCGTTCCACCATTTGGTCCTGCCTCTCGAATGCGCTCCTGCTGATTCGACCTCCGAACACGCTTTGGATTCGGTTTTTGAGTGGTTCTTTTCCTCTTCAAGGAACGCTCGTTGGTACCAGGATTCGACTTTGAGCAGGTCTGTTCTTTCTCATACAAAATACGCAGCTGAGAGATCTCGTTTGCTTGCTCGTCTAACTTGCTCTCTAAGATACGCTGTTCGTCTTGAATCTGGTACTGTGAACTTCGAATTTGGTATAGAACGTTTTTGATGTTGTCCTGACCTTCCAGAAGGGTAGTATGGTTTTCGCCTCCTTGGTCTCGTAGTGCGTTGATTTGTTGGTGTAACCATTGCGAAAGCTCTCTGAGTTGATCTGCAGCATCTTTGACGTGGGATATGAAATGTTTGTTACTGGTACAGCATCCCCCACTAGCTGATGGAGCGGGTCCCTGTTGCGTATTCGGTAGAGATCGCTCCAACGGGGCTTGCCCTTGGTGAACAACGTGCGCATTCGCGGGGGTTCCATGTGACCTCTTCGGCTGCAAGTGCGCAGATTGGCGATTGAGGTGTAACAATGTTGCTCCAGCGACTTGCGGATTCATCGGCACATACTGTGGGGAACACGAAAGAAATGGCCGCACTTGTGGTTGTCCAAGAGACGTATGAAGATTCGGAAGGTAGGGCGAATCAGGTGGTATGTGATTTGGTCCAAGACCAACTCGTTCCCAATGACGCATGTTATTTGAAAATGGTAACATGTCGTTGTTCATAAGCGTGAGGGCCAGAGTGAAGGCTCTCAAGTCTGATCACGATCTAGGAGAGGTATGATGGAGGTGTTGACATGACTGATCTCAGCTCCTATTATGTTGGTCTAGCTGATACAGGTTCGACTGCTCCACTCGACTTTCGAAAACCACAGGATTGCGGCAAGTACTAAAAAGCAAGAGTGGGTAACTTTTTCCACTCCAAAGAGGCTAGCTTGACGGTAACATGTAATCCTTTGACACCGACATTGATGACCCCACCACCTTATGTGCCACCTGCTGAACGTCATATCGTCTCAGCTAGCGTCTGAAATAGTGATCGAAACAGCAGGCGATTGAACGGTCATTCGCTCCTCCATTGCTGATCTCGAGAACAGATCTTCAGGACGAGATGTTATGGACAGGATTATAAACACTAGACCCAGGTGCGATCCTTGTGACTACATAATGTTCAGCAGTTGATCCCCGGGACTCAGCATACCCATGGTCTAACATCTTCGCCACGTCACTATACCTAGACTTGATCCGGATACTTCTGCAATGTTTATAACGGACCCGATACGCCCAAGGGGTGGGTCAATAATCATGTGGAGCGAATCCGGATCCCGGTCTATGCGTTGTAATTTTTTCCACACTAACATTCAATACACGCCTCCCTCGGAATAGCGCCCCCCCCCCCCCCCCTCCCCCCAAAACGCACGGTCTAGGTCTTTGTCGTAAGATATCGAAAACCAGTAATTTTCGATACGTGCTTACGCCGCAGCCATTCCTGCATTGGTTGATGATACTCACTCCGGCTCTGTGTTTCTATGCTTTAGAGAAGTGGTGGATGCAAGACCGAACCGGTTTAACTTGCTAAGGTCGAACCCCTCTCGTGAATTCCTAGAACTTGCGAATCGTTCACAGCACCGCGTCCATTTGGAAGTATTTTCACACACCGCGTCTGCTGACGAAGCGCAATGGCTTACATTCGTGCAGATGCTTTGGCACTTCTGTTAGGACCGGGAGATCTCTATTTCTGCTCGTCTCGGATGGGAGACAATGAAAGTCATTTCTGTATGTAGAACCTACAGACATCAGGAAACTAAGACTGAAAACTAGAGAAATCACCTACCACTGACTGCCAGACGAACGTCTTACGGCGTTCAGGATGGCATTCGGCACACTGAGCTCGACCGTGTTATCAAGAAGCGTCTAGTCTCTGTTTCCACTACAGCGACACCAAAGTTGGCCCATTTTTCGCCTGATCTGCTCATCCTCGATGCGTTGGAACACAAAAGCGAAGCCCTGCCACTCATGTTGGCTTCAACATGTATAGCTCCAATGAGAGAACATGTCGCTCGACTACGAGGTCGCAAGGCAGCCGACGATTCAGCTGTACAAGACATAGATGTTAGCGGGCTAAGGCGTGGTAAATTTTACCGTGCCTTCATACTAAGTATGGCCAGTTTGCAGGTGAGTCAAGCACTGATCGACTTTTTACTTGATCATCTCTAAATATTCTGACCACCCGCTGTAGCCAATTGTACTGGCCTTCCGCGCGAGGTCTACCGACGTGCTCGACAGCTTGATGGCAGATTTACATCTGTTTGATTTTTCGGGTTGCTTCAATGATGTGCAACGCCGTGAGGAGATCGACGTTCCGAGTCTCTTGGTGAACGGTATTCTGCTGTTCGCCAAAGCCAGGGTCAAGGAAGTCGAGAAGGCCAGTCTTGGAATCGGATGTTGCACTATATTTGAGGATTCCTGCGAGACGGCTCTTGTGCGCCTGACCAGACCTGTAATAGCATCTCTTTGTGCTACACGCGTGGGTACATATGTGTTGGAATGCGAGAAATAGACTGTAGATAGATAAGGCGACAGCGGTGATAAAGTGATCATTCTATAAACTGTTGAACATTATCCAGAGGCATTGTTTGCTATGCATCATCTTTCGAAGCACTCTGTATGAGGTACCAGATGGATATCGAGGGAGAGAGCCCTCACCAGCCAGAATATCTCATGTCCCTCATTGCATGAGATGAT